TACTTTTGATTTACTTATTTATAAGATTTATAAAACACCTCACCCAGAGGTATACAAAATCAAACAGAATACAAAGAAGACTTTAATTTAAAAAACAAACAATAAAATGTAAACAGTAACAGTAAGGGTACAGATCTTCCTCTAGCGACTTCATCACCAAAAAGCCAGTTTTAACTCCAGTGGGGTCATTCTTGCCTTGGGGGTAAGCGAGCAACCACTGAGAACCCCTACCTCGGTGTCTCTTTCTATCATACCTCCTGATAGGAGAACACTTTCAGCAGGTGCTCCCTATTCCTCCAGGCTGGGTAGGCAGAATTTACTTGGGACAGGCAGTCTCTAAGATATCCAGTCTCCAAAACATATAGGTAATAACTAGCTGCTTGAGTTGCACCTGGAAAGAGACCGGTAACCAATTCAGCTCCCGTAGCAGCAGCACTATATGGGGATTGTACATGGGCAGCTGCGTTTTGAAATTTCCAGGTGATTTTCAAAGGCAACCCATGGTTGCAGTAATCCAGGGGCAAGATCACCAGGGGATGAATCTTCAGAGTGTCCTGTTTTTGGTAAGGCTGCAACTGTTGCACCAGCAAAGCTGGGCAAAATCTCTTCTGCTCAACCAGCAGGAGCCAGGAGTGCCCTCAGATTGCTCCTTCAGGGAGGCCATAGCCCCATCAAGAGCCAAGGTTGGTATCACCCCAGAATCAGCCAGCTTCTGAACCAACACCACTCTGTCTTGCTTGGGTTGAGTCAGAGCCTATTTCTCTCCTTTCAGGCTCTGACAGCCTCCAAGCACTGGGTCAGGATTTCCATCATATCTCCCATTTGGCCTGGTATGGAGATGCTCAGCTAGGTATTACTGGCATATTGATGACACCCCCCCTATGCTTGGCAAATGACCTTTCCCAGCATTTAATTTACATGTTCAACAGTAGAAGGAGGAAAACAAGCCTTGGAGCACCTCACATTGGCATGCCCAAGAGTCCACCCTCTCCGCTCCTGCAAACACCGACTGCACTTGCTTGGGAAGAAGCGGAATCACTGCAAAAAAGTGCCTCCCACTTCCAACCCTTCCAGGTGGTCCAGGATCAAAGGCCAATGAAAGGCCTAGCAAGACAAGGATGGTTGCCTGCCGACCGCTCATAGCTCACTACAGCTCATTTGTGAAAGTGGCCAGTGTGGCATCCATCCCATATCCCAGCCTGAATTGTACTAAGGGTCAAGATAACCTAGATCTTCCAGGGCCCTCCACTTTCTTTATAGCCTTCCCCCAACAGGGAGCGTGGATATAAGACAATAGTTGCCCAATACGTACATGCTTTCAATTGAAGAGAAAGATGAGACTAAAGACAAAGTTACCTTAAGGCTATTAAAGCTAAGGAGCCACTACTCATACTAACAGATAATTTCAGCCTGCATGTACACCGTTTATGGGATTTTATACACTAATAGCTCCTAAGACCAGAGCTTACCAAACTCTAAAACTCAGAAAGTAGCCATTGCAGTTGTATGTTTACTATACCTTTCAAAGTTGAACAAGGCAAAATACAACATTGTTTTTTTAGAATTGTTACTTTTATAATAAGAGTTATAATAAGAGTTTAGTATGAGCAAGTACATCTTTAAGAGAAAGAGAGAGCATGCACAGATTTCTACATACAGAGGGTTAAATAAAAAGGACAAGCAAGAGTGTTGGATAAGACCAGCTGAACCCTTTGCAATCTAAAAGCAAATATCTAAAAATCATGTATTGTTCAATATTAAAATAATGCATAACTTGGACTAAATGGGATAGCAAATCAACACTTCTTTGACATATCCCCTCTAGGTTACATGAGCTAATGGAGTATGGCATTGAGACATGGATTGCCATTCCCACAAAATGATGTGCCTGATGTGAGCCCTTTATAACCTGACCATTATCTTTCCTAAGAGGGGGAAAAAAGTCTAATCTCCAGATTCAAAAGCACTTTACAGCTTCCTATTGTGCCAGTCAACATCCAAATATGGCACATGATGTAGAGCTTTACTCTAAATTTCTTAACCAAACAAGTTTACTAATTCACTTGTTAAGTTCAGCTTGCTGTCCACGAGTCTTCAACCTACTTATGTCTAGCAAAGCCATCAGGCTGATCAAGGCAATGCTAAGCAAGATACATTAGATCAAAGCCCTTGTTCTCTTTCCTAATAAATATTCATCAAATGTGCCTTCAAAACACAAAACATTTTCCTTCCCACCATTATAGTTTTGAAGTTTTTTCTGTTTTTCAAGAGTGACAGAGATGGAATGAAGAACAGAAATCAAGCAACTAACATAAATAACTTCTGCTGGAGCAAAGATGGACAGGTAGTGGGGTTCAATTCAGAATCTAGAACTGATTGTAAGGGAACAAACGGAGTGTGACATGCAGAGTATAAATGGGAAAGAACTGCCAGAGCTCAAAGAGAGTACTTTCATACATTGGCAGTTCCCGGATAGGAGAACCCAAGTATTTGTGACATCTATTGCCCTTTCAAACTTTCTGTTTACTGTCTGAAACACTAATATAACCCTAATGAATCTAGACAGCTATAGACTGTTACAGATGAGGACATATGCCAAGAACATCAGCATGATAAATGTGTGATGGTAAATGGTGGGAGGACTTCTTTAAATTCCTTAACCATAAATGTGGCTCGGTTTCTTATTTTAATTGACACTAATAAAGAAAAGCCAGATGCTGACATTAATATGTTTAACTCTATTTAACCAATAATCACTGTAAACACTGATGAAAATAGGGTTGTGCAATATATCAGAATTCAAGATTCCTGCTGCTTTTTTAAGCATCATGTTAAAGGCTGTTGCAAGCATGAGGCCTTTTTATTTTGTTTTAATACCAACTTCTGATTTAAATAAAGTAGTAAGGAGATTGATGTGGAACACTGTATGGCTATATATTAGAAAAGGGTCCTTTAACTGTCTGAATAAGAAAATACCTGAATGGCTTCCTATATTTTTTCATTGAAGCTTAAAGTTAGCAAGTCTCTTCCAGGTCTTCCTAATGTCCCCAACACTAATCTGCTACTTAAATCTTGTCTCCATGCTTTCTTTTTTGTTGGTCCTTCAGTCTGAATCATCCTTCCTGATACAATATTTGGCTTTCTGGGTTTTTCCAATTCTGATAATGGAATTCTTTAACTTTCTTCTTTCCAACTTTGCTATTCTTTAGTCAAGGTAGGGTATTCCATCCAAATACCTCCCCCTTGCTTCTTCAGAATTTTATAAATAATAATTGAAAATCATTGTTGTCATAAGCTCAACTGAATAAGACGCTGTATGTTTGGTCATTATAAAATAAGTATGTGCAATGTGTGTATTATTTCAGATTTCAAGATCATATAGTCTCGGTTTAAAAACATCAATAATGATCCATTTTTGGCTGTGCTCTTTGATGAAGCATAGCTTTTGTTCAGTCATCTCAAAGCCATAATTCTTTAACTAAAAGGTATGTTTCTCTTTCTTTGAAAAAAGTGGGAAAAGCACCATGACAAATTTAGCAAGGTAATCTACCTTTTCTTAAAAGCTGTGGACAAAGAAAGTGTTTTGTTTTCTTCCTCTATTTGGATGAGATGATTTCCAAGTTCTTTGCTCTTCCCCTGGGAGATACTCATGCCTGAATGAATACTGACAAGCAAGGGCTACAGGTTCCAACCTACCATTTCCCACAGGTATTTGCCAGTGGCAAAACTGCAAAAATCACTGACTTGATACCTCAGAGATATGGAGGGTAGTAGGAGACTTGAAGTAAGTGAAGATGGCCTAGAATTAAAATCAGCTGTAAGGGCTCCATTTCAATTTAAAAAGAAAAAGAAAAGAAAAAGCTGGCTGGCATTTCCAGAAGTCATGCATTCAAATCTACCCAATATGCATTTGAATATAAACATCTGAAGACAGACTGAACAGCTGAGAATAAAGATGTTGATACTTGCTGCTCTTTCTTTTGAAATATAACAAATTCCCACCCCTAAGATAAAAGAAAGAAACCAAACAAATCAAATCCTGTATGACTCCTGGATATAGTTCAGCCTGTCAATGATACCGAGGGAAAAGTGTGTGTGTGTGTGTGTGTGTGTACAGTATATATGTTTATATGTTTATATATATATATATATAAAAGGAGGAGGAAAAAAATCCAAGATAGACATTCACCTGGCTGAGAGTCAAACAGGTGCACAGAATGACAAAAACGATGTCTTGCCAACTTGACAGAGAGATAAGGAAAACTGATCACATAGAATTCTTTACAGGTTAATCATAAATCATACTTCAGGCAACTAGGTCACTAATAACAAAATACAGAGGATGACAATGGTGGGCTGGGTTGCAATATAGCAAAAAGATTATTTCCCAAGAGACTATAAAATTTTTTAACAAGTTATCATTTGTTTAATCTTACTACTGCTGGTGCTCAGCATTTATTTCTATGAAGATTTTCTTTCCTTTTTCATTGCTACTATCCTCAATCTGTTCCAAGATGGCATTCTACTCTGAAGTTACCTAGCTTCTGAGAGGGATCTTGGCTACACAATAAAGTCATTTTCTCTGTCTATTAACTTTAGAAGAATAAGTAAACAAGGTATTACAGCTATGGAGACTTTGACAGTAGTAAGTGGGCAAATTTATGAGAGTGAAACAAGACATTAGGTGAGAAGAAGAAGAAGAAAAGGAAGAGAAGGAGGAGGAGATGTTTATAAAAATAAGGTAATGTAATGCATTCCTGCTTTTAAAAATAGTATGGAACAGAACATAATGAAGCAATGAGATACTGTGACTTCAAGGAATTTTCAGCATTCAAAGCACCATAAAGTGAGGAGGTTAGCTCACAGAGGAACCCCAATTCATTTTGGTAACATGCACATAAAAATAAGTCTCACACTTACTAAGTACATACAAACTAAGCTGCCTTAGTTTTCCTAGCTTCCCCCTGAGATAACTAGTTTAATTCAAACACAGTCTTTACCTGAGAGCCGTCTGGGCACATCGGTGATGGCAGGAAGCCCTGTGCCTCGTGTGGAGGACAAGGGAGTTGTGGAATGAATGGATGGTGAAGTCATCTGGCTCAAATATGATGGGTAAGACTGGTCATAGGACCATGGAGGGGATGACTGTGCTTGTCTGGGGTCTAAAAACAAAACAAAAGAGAAAATAATTTAAAATGAAAGACAGACAGGAACAGTTGGTGGAGTCAGAAAGCCTAAGTATGATACATATAAGATGGGAAAGTATGAGAAGTAAGAACTTCAAACATTTGGCTCTTTTTCTTTCTTTCTTACACTGTTCAGAACTGACAGTGTTAGACTGACTCCTGAAAGGTGAAACTAACAGCATTCATGTAAAATGAAGCCCAGTTTGATTTCAGTGAGGTTTGCAGAGGACTGCAGCTCTAAGATATATCCAATGAAAGACTGATCAAATGCTTTTCAATAGGAAGATTAATTTCCAGATTAGAATCTGATGAAGGGATAAAAGAAGTTTAATAGCTAATGTTAAATATATCTTCAGTGATGAAGAATGTCTAGAGAATTGATGAAAATACAAATAGGTCCAAAAGTTAGGAAATCTGATGTTAAAAGTCTTCAAGGACATGGGAAATAGAAGAAGCACAACAGAAATAAATCTAAAATGAGAGAAGGGACTTTAGAGTCCTGGCTGATTTCATTCCAGAACTATGTGTAAAGCTCTCGACTCTTCAGACTATTCCAAGGTTTATCTGAAAGAACTGATTACTTGTGAAACACATAATAGAATCTGAGATATTGGAGATAACAGAAGCCAAACTAGGCTTCCTCCTTTTCTAAAAGGAACATACACAACCCTGCCAGGAAACATCAAAATAATGCCCTGAAGAAGATTCTGGGCAACCTAACACTATTCTATAGCAGTGACTGCATTCATAATAGACACTTAGTGCAAAATTTTCAATTTGCCTTATGACAAAAACTTTATTTTGTTACGGGGCAAAATAATATATTAATAAAGAAGAAAAAGTTCCTAAAGAAGTTCTTTTTATGTAACTTTTAAAACTAGAACTAGCAATAGTCTAATGTAATTTATGTTGCTCCTAATCCAACCAAGTGTGTGCTCTCTCTCTGTGTGTACTAACTTACATTTCTTTGAAGATTCTGTGACATGCCCTCCTACTGCTGGAGAATTTCCATTGAAAATGTGATTATATGAAGAGTTGCTGTGAACACTTAAGTGAAACTCCTGCTATGCTAGACATTTATATATAGCTTTGTAAGAACAAGGCTTCTTCTCTATCACCCCAGCATGCAAACCACAGAATAAGGGATTTAAGCTACAGAAAAGCAGATCTGATTAAAAAAACTTCCTAATTGTAAGAGCAATGTGACAGTGGAACCAAATACCTAGAGAGAGGTGATGGGGTCTCTTTCACTGGATGGGTTCAGAGCAGAATTTGACCGCTGTCAGGTTTTTTTGGGCTCTTCCAACTCTCTGATTCAAATATTCTAGCCATTGTTGCTTTGTCATTATTCCTCTCCTTATTAAATCCCCTGCTGCTAACTTTACAGTCTGTTAGTAATGATGTCCGCTTTTCTATTTCCTTCTATGTGTATGTGGTTTGGACAGAATGGGAATTGAAACTCATTTCAAAACAGAAATACTGGCTTTAGGAAAAGGAAATGAAAAGTGTACCCATTTATCAGATTTGAATGCATTTCCAAAATAAAAAAAAAAGTATTCCTGTACAAAAAATATAGGAAGTTAATTTATCCAATGGAAGCATTTGGTCCATCTAGACCAGTGGTTCTTAAACTGAGGGTAACTTGGGCATATCCTGGGGTAATGGAACAATTTGTAATGGTTTGTGAGTTGAGGATCCAGTTGGGGATGGCCGCTGCCAAGACGCTTGTGTAAAACAAGAGTCTGGGTTTTTTTGTGGGGGTAATCACATTATCTGAGACGGGGAAAAGGGATAATTGGATCAAAGAGTTTAAGAAGCCCTGATCTAGACCACAACCATGTACACAACCCAAAGCTTGGAATGTTTTAGACAGAAGCCTTTTCTGGACTTACCAAAAGATGCTAGAAACTATGTTTGGAAACATTTATCCAAGCGCTATGTTTGTCATGTCAAAGTGATACAGGGAGAAAAGCCCTGTGAATTCTTTTAGTATTTGCTTGGGATAAGTCACATCAGGAGGTCAGTACAATTACCTGCCAATTCATATTAAAACAATGATATATTGTTCCTTGGTTTCTGACAATTACTTCGCATCTCAACCCCACTTCACAGAACATTTTGATCTGAATCAAGTAATTCCCAACTTTCATTTCCTGACTACAGTATCCAGAGAAACAGGTTGGAAAAGAAGTTCCCTGTTAATAGTGTCAAGTAATGTAGGACTGAAAACAAGAATTTATCCTTAAAGTTTATTCATCCATGCAAGAGAAATTGCTTTCTGATCCCTCTGGGAGGATATTTGAGCAGCAAACCATTATCTTTCCTGGCACATTTCTATTTATATAATAACTGTATTTTAATGTAATTTTTACCACTGTTTAGCAAATAGAGATCCATGTATATTAATTAGTTGGCTGAATAAACTTTTTCTACTATTCAAGAAATGTATATAGTCATAAGAAAAACTTCTCTCTCTCTCTCTCTCTCTCTCTCACACACACACACACACACAACTT